TTTACATGGGGTTCAGGGATGTAACTCAGGTTGCTTGCCAGACTTGCACAGCAAATACCTTTACTGCTGGACTGTCTCATCGGTTCAAGATAACTTTTTATGCACTCTGGATACCAGACCCATATCAGGACCGAGACTGTTGTTTTCTAATACCACAAAATAAGTATCTCCCTTTCCTGTAGCTGTGAATTTACATTTCCTCAAAGCCATTCCTAACTTTGTACCTTTTAAAGAGGTACAAGAAGATAAGATGTTTTGTAGGGAACTCTGTTTGCCTGGCCTAGCTGTCTTGAGAGGCATGCATCATAGGTTTTTCAGGTTAGAGTCCATGGTTCCTGGGGCACTGTGCCTTCCAGTTCCTGAGAGACTGGCCCACTCCCTCATGTAGTGAAACATTCAAGCCACTTAGTGTTTCTCTGTGTGTTCCCTTAGCTTGTGTCCTGGCAGCTACAGCTGTATTGATCCTGGCAATGCCATTATATTCTGTTGCAGATAAAGGTATAAAAAGTCTAATTGCTCTCAATAAAATTGCCACAGCTTAAGTTTTATGAACCCTCCGACTGGCCTAGTTTCATTCCTCATGGCCATATCAGGTGACCTTGCCCCAGTAAGTAAGCACAGGCACTTACAATGTTTTATATAAATTACAGACCCCCACTTACAACTTTATTGACAAGAAGTATATTCAACCCTAGGACCGTGATCTAGGACTTTGTGACTCCTGCAAGCAATCTGAAGGGGCTGACATAGGACTAGGTTGATTCTCCTATTCCCTTTGCTGTGCTCTTCCCAAAAGGTGTACCAACCAGACCGACCTATGGTTGCCATCAGGAAAAGATGGTGGTCATGCCAATCATGGCTTCATCCTGAATTTTCTAAGTAAATATCTGTTACCACCTACCCCTTGATTATCTAGAAAGTAGCTAAAAGGAAAAGGCTTCTTTCTGGGGACAGTTGCTTTTCATAACCAAAATATAAAGATGAGGAAAAAGTAAGAGAAGGAATCAGAATTTTTGTTTACTTTGGGGGGGTTGTTTTGTTTCTGGTAGTTTATGTCTCTGGCTGTCCTAGAACTCACTATGTAGATACAGAGATCCATCTGCCTAGAGTCAACTTTTGGAGTTGATGTTTGAGGAAGACTTTTCAGTATTCAGCAATCCCAGATGTCTGTAGACAATAGGTAACATGGAGGTTGCATACACTATTTTTGACTCCTGGCTTTAGCAGTGAAAGGTATACTGTTGGCTGACTGCAAACTGTCTGAAATGCTAAAAACATGACAAGGTTACTTTCAAGATTTACAATAGTGTGGTCCAGCTTAGTTGACCTTATGGGAATGGCAGCAATATAGTCACCTGAGAATCACAGTCTCAGGACACTGTCATAGCTCCAAGAGGAAATCAAAACGCCACAATAAATCAAATCTGTTGTAAGAGAGCAGGGGAAATGTCCCAGGCAGAGTGGTTTCCTTCATTACAAGATAACTGCCAATTTTAGACAAGAGCCACACAGAAATGTCATCTTGTTAGATTTATCCAGTAGTGGAGCATTTGTTTAACACTGAAAGCAACGACTAAGGAGTGTAGTCCTCTTCTCTGTCCAGTCTGCAGTGGTGGATACATTGTTTTCTCCAACTCATGGAAGCAGCTTAGTTACAAGCCCTTGTAGTTGTGAGTGGTAGCCACCCACAATCCAGGAAGAAGGGCCTTAAGAGTTTATCTTCCTATAATTTGAGGTGGTTTGGTTTTAATTTTGTTGCTCTTAGCATACAATTGGTTTACTCAGAAGTTTGTCAAGTCACTTTAAAATTGGAAAAGAAATTATGTAATTGAAAATGGAATGCATTCTAAAGCTGTACAGCATAGAGTCAGAGAAATATGATCACAGTATAGCTCTATAACTGACATTTTAACCGGCTGACAACATGTAAAAATATTTTCTTGAGTAAAATTCCTAAGACCTTGAGTTGAACTAAACCAACTACAACTGGTTCAATACCAAAATTTAACTATCTATTAAATAAAAAAGGACCTTTTACTATTAAAATATGGAAATATAAGTAATGTATTTTTCTTTTAATGTAGCCATAATTTTTCAGCCAAGTAAAGTGTATAATACTTTATATTTCATGTTTTATGATCTAAAAGTGGAACGGGAAACTGTGTAGGTTCTGTAAAATAACAGCAAGATTTCCCTTGCCACCTCTAAGCCCTATAACCCAGAAATATTAAAGATTTTCAGAGACACCAAGTCTTTGAACATAGCAGGTTTTATGACAAAAATCCATCCCAAAGTAGTATTATTTTTATAATATTTAAATTTCCCTAATCATTCTTATGCATATATATTTAGGGTTCATTACATAAAATATTGAATAATTTGAAAACTTACTTTTTATTTTGTATTCAGTATGGAGATTTATTCCCAGAGTGGGGCTTTTCTGATGCAAAATTGGAATGCTTGTGTAGTCACAACAGCTGTCCCCACACCATGTGGTATCTTCCATTACTTTACTATAGCGATGAATTTTTGGCCCAGTGTTTCAGTAATATTGGACACACATGGTTTTAAGTGGCAAAGCAGTATGCTTATGCATTCATTTGACTTTCACAGCTACAGTTGGCTCTATATTAGAACAGGGAGAATACATTCACACCACAGCCACCCTCATGGCTGCTGGAGTAGCTGGATCACAGTGGGCTCTATTCCTTCTAAAGACACCACTAACTATTGCTGAGGAATTACACATTCACTAAAGGGCCTTGCAGCTGTAGGAGAGGGAATAATGAGTAGCTCAAAGGCCACCCTCAGATTTCAGCCCACAAGTTTTTATTATTACCTATCTTTTAACAATAATTGTAAAAATCATGGCCATGAAATAACTAAAACTGAAAGGAAGTTTGCTGAGGCAATCAGTGATTCTTTTTCAGATTTTCAATACAGGTATTTGATTTAAATAAAATCTTTCCCAGAAAAACAGTAATGCTATGTTATTAGGCTCATTAACAAGAAATTAAAATCCGATTGACTTTTAATATATCGGCTGTTTATGTATGTTTTTAAGAATTCAGTCCATTAAAAATAGAAGTTTTGCCCAGATTTCTGCTAAAACTGATATGGACATCAGGTGATTTGCTGTGCTCTGAAGCACACTGCACTGGTGTGATTTTGGTTTGAGTGCTGTTTCAATGAGGAGCTTAATGTTCTTCATGGCTTGATTTTGTGCTTCCAGCTTATATTTAAATTCTCAAGCTTAACCCCTTTGCATTTCTGTATACTTATTAGAGCTTTGGGTTTTAACAATATGAATAATATTTTCTTTGAAAATCTAATGTGTTCCTCTAAATGATATCTAAATAACCCATTTTTCCTTAAATAAGGCAAAAGGAAAGGAAAAGAAGGAAAACTCCGCTGTGTAATTTTTAGCTTAAGTGATAGATAATTAAATTTCTGATCTTCATTAAATATCAAAGAAGTTGTAGCCAAATCCAGTGTAGACTACCTTTGTATCTAAGTGAGTTTATGCACGTATTGTGGGGCTGTGCTGATGAATATGTTCCAGGCTTTCAGCCCTTAGTGGATACAAAATAGAATGATTGATAAAATCCTCCCTACTATTGGCTATTATTTACTGACTCTTAAGTGGCAGGTTGTATTTATGCCAATTTATCTGCTTCAGGGAACATTCTTGATAGCAGAACAAAGTGAATAAAAGTAGTTTGCTTTGCAAATGAATGCAAATAAGAGAGCCTTTCGGAAAGCCCTTTAACAGGGGCAGTGCACTGATTATGAGTGAGGCTGCCATTTGGACATGGTGAAAAGAGCATGCTTGAACCATTGATTGGGGGAGACAGTAAAAAGTCAGGAAGGGCCCCTTTGGCTTGCAGTGAGGCAGGCGGATGTCAGTGTGGTTAGAGCACAGTGGGAGAATGACAGGGAGGATTAGTGTCAGGGAGAGGCTTTGCTGGGGCTATGGAGATAGTCCCTGGGGTCACTCACCACTAACTGTTGTTCTGTGCTGATGGCTCTGTAATGCATACTGCCTGATGGATGCCTGTTCATTATCGGAAATGGTGATTAGAAAAGGTATTTGTTTCTAAGATTTTCTCCACTACCTTTCTTCTTCCCCCACCTCTTTCTTTTTAATTAAAGGGAAATGAGGTGGGCTTCCTTCATCTCCCATTTAGTGTCAAAGTGACTACTGCCTCTGATGGTGGTAGCTTATGCCAGAATCTGATTCATATTATGTTTCTTTTCCTTATCCAACAGTGATTTATGTTTTTTTTAACTTGGTTTTAGGTTTTAACCATTGGTAGTCACTAGTAGTGAAATTCAGGAATATGTTGCTGCTAGAATTTTTGTGCAGTTTTGTAGTCTTTAAGGTGTTTCCACAATTTCAACTGTGAAAAGCTTTGCATGGACTGGACGGTTCCCATCTTGGTGTAAGAGTTCCTAATCTTACTTGTTCTCAAGTTTTACAGAATGCTAGCATTTGGCAAATTAAACATTCCTAAAGTTGATTATTGCTATTGTTACATAGAATGAGCACAATTCTGATTCTCAGTGCTTTTATCTTTAGATTTTCATATTTACGTTTAAGAACCATTTTGTTTTCTTTTATAGTATTTTTTACTTGAAAACTTTGCTAGCCATGTTATGTGAGTTATATGAGCAGAACAATATTTTGTAGCAAGAATTTTTTATAGACTTTGATAATGGTTTTTATTTTAATGTACAGTTGGTCTTTTTTAAAGTGTCTTCAAAAACATGGTTTGTATTATTCAGTACTTCAATTTTCTTATGTGCATACAAAAATCTCTGAAAGACTGGTAGTACTCCATTCTGCTGATAAAGATGCTGCCTCAGCCTTTGACTAAGCTTAACTAGATGCTTAGTACTATTGGTCATTGCAGAAAGGGTTTTGCCAATAAATTGTTTCACAGGCTAGTTAGTGTTTTAGTACTCATTTTTCTAATTACTTTTTCTTTAATGTTTTACAGGCACCTGAATGGACAGAAGAGGACCTCAACCAGCTGACAAGAACTATGGTTAAGTTCCCAGGAGGGACCCCAGGTCGATGGGAAAAGATTGCCCATGAATTGGGTCGATCTGTGACAGATGTGAGTTCATTGAGATTTGCATTGTATGGGGAGTGACAAACCAGAACAAGCCAACCATGCAGGAGGCAGACTTAGATGGGCCCTGGGTTATCTAACTGTGGAGAAAGGACCTGGGGCTGAACCATTAATGAAATAAACAAGAAGCAGATGTGAGTCCATCCCCTCCCTGTTCCACAGTTAACAGCAGTGTGAAGAACTGTAGTGCTCAGAGACTTAAGCTACTGAAACCTAATCACAGAAGACAGTGTTAGGTTCTGTGTTTATATTGACCCTTCAATCATGGAAAAGACAGTTTTCAAAATGATCAGAATTAGAGAGGTGACATTTCAGCCTTAACACTTTAGTACAGATTGCTGGTGTATTTAGACAGGTGGTTGGGATTAATGAAATAAGCACTAGTCTTAGTGCAGATGGAATGTTTCTTTCCAAGATGCTACTGACCATTCATTTTGGCATGCGTGTGTGAATGTCCATACCTAACACCTAGAAGACAGAGTACTGACGGAGGACCTTTTGAAACAGCACTTTAGATGTTTTCATTCAGGAAATCTACAGTAGAGCACCTGACATGTGCTAGATCTTCAAGTATCTAATTAGGAGTGAGGACAGGACTCTCCTGTCTCAGTTATCAAACTGATGTTTGTGCAAAGCATAGTAAATACCCTTTACTAAGTTTCCTTTCAATACATCTTGTGGTTTAAAGTTCTTAAAAGAGTTGCTAAAAGCAAAGATTACATTTCCTCTTTAATTCTGTTAGCATGTCTTTAGGTCTTTTTACAATGAGCACACATTTTAATGAGCACACTAGTAAAACACAGCTACCAAAACAATGAGATTTGTTATGATTGCTGTAACTTATTCTTCAGAGTAAACATCTGGGTTTTTTTATTTAGGACTTGCATTGAGAATTTCACTATATATGTATATATATAGTGAAATTTGTATGTATATATAAGTATGATCATGGGACAAAAGTTACTATATCTAGTAACAGATCATTTCTGTGGTTTTGTGAAGTGACCAGTTATCTTTAGCTCATGAGAACCATAGAGATACCTTTTCTTCTTCTAAGAGCACTGCTGAAATGTGCATTTCATTTTCCCATTTTAAGGTATTTTGTAAGGAATGGTATAACTAAACATATTGAAGACATTCCAAGGTTTATATTTTAAACATTATATTTTAATTGCTAAAATCATTCTTAAGCATTCTAAAAATATTGCTTTAAAGAGCCCAAAGCTTTTAACTTGATGGTATAAAGAAAAACAATAGTATGCTAATTAGTGCCTTCTTAAAAGGTAAAGAATAGCAGCTCATACTTTTAATCCCAGCACTTGGGAGGCAGAGGCAGAAGCAGTCAGATCTCTCTGTGAGTTCAAGGCCACCCTAGTCTACAGTGAGTTCCAGGATAGCCAGGGCTGTTACACAGAGAAACCCTGTCTCGAAAAACAAAAATAAATAAATAAAAGTTGCTTTTTAGTTTAAAGTAGATCCAATAATCTACACTTCTATTCTTTCCATATCCCCCTTTTATTTATTCATTTACTTATTTTCTCAGAAAAAGATCCTTGAGTCCTACCTCCCTTGCTTAGTTTCCTCCCTTACCATGACCAGTAATAGTTTGCAACCAACTCCCCTAAATGATGACAAACATTCATAACCCACTGAACGGCCAAAAAAAAAAACAAACAAACACCAACCCCATCTCTTGGGAATGTGGGTATCATGTTCTCCAGCCTGCTTCCTGTTGTCTAGGGGCAGTGACATCTTTAGGGTACTCTTAGAAAATTGGGATAATGAAGTCCTAGGAGAGCTAGCTTTATCATTTGTTGTCCAAGCTCTGTGTGATGGGAAAGTGTAGAGCTTATCTGAAGTCCTGGCTGGAGTAGTCTGTGAGGCTAGACCATCTCAGCTAGCAGATTTGAAGTTACTCTGGATGTAGGTTTTTGAGGAAACTGCAACAGATCTAAGAGACTGGATCACTTAGGCTACTTGTTTTGTCTTCATTCATGTCCAGTCATTTTGTTCTGAAAACATTTAAACTTTTAAAGGTAACATACATATCTGCATTATTACTGTTAACAATATTATTTCATACTGTTAACAAGTATAGAATGTGCAGTGTGCACTAGTCAGCTAAAGATAATTTGGTCAGCTAGTAGCTATAGCTAGCTCTGCCCTCTGAGTCAAGGTAAACTTTATTGGCACAGCAGAGTGGCAGTGCAAATAGTTCTCCTGCAACATGAAGACTCAGCTAATGTTTTTTTAAGTAATTCTTATTTTTTTTGATAATTTTATACACATAAATAATGTATCAGTCATATTGTGGTATTGTTTTTTATTTTACTTATGTATTTTATATGTATGGGTGTTTTGCCTGCACCACATTCATGCATGTCATCCTCTAGAGGACAACATAGGAGTTGCAAACAGATGTGAGTTGCCATGTGGGTGCTGGGAATTAAATCCCAGTCCTCTGAAGATCAGCCAGTACTATTGAACTGTCTCTCTAGCCCCCACCAGACTTGTTTCAGTAATGCCCAAGAAAGACTTGAACCAACTAAACCAGTTGAAGTAGTTTCAGCTGGTACAATCCCTTTAGTAGAATGTTAAGTGAAAGTTAATCACACTTTAAAAGGTCACTTACACTTCTTTTTGGCTTGCAGTGTTAATTAGATTTGTTGTCATTAAGTATTTGATTGTGGAAGAGAAGCCAGGTTCCTTTGGCAGTCACCATCTCCTCTTACAGCACACTGACCTGATCTTCTGGCATCCAGCCCATGTCTGCACAGCTGTTGTTTGACCTTGTTTCCCTACTAAATGTGTAGCTTCAGGCTTGTTTCTTTCCTTCCAGAAACAATTGACCTTTTATGGGGAAAGGTGAGAGTGGCTCTTTATGTAGACTGTTAGATTCTAGTTAAAACAAACAAACAAACAAACAAAAAACAAACAAACAAAAACCTATTTTTTTCCTCAGTTTAAAAAAGAATCAATATATTACTTGTCATAATTAGAGTTAAACTGTCAAATTCTACCCAGGATAAGTACAAGCAATATTTTTAATTTTTAATTTTTTTTTACACAAAGTATTTTTTAACTCAGGTAAACTGTGAGGCCAACTTTATTGAGGCTTACATTTTAAATGTTAATTACATGCCTTTTGGCATATAATTTTAGTAACCACAAAGGGCACTCAAATTGTAAAAACAACAAAGGAAACAAAAACTGTCTGACATGTAAAAGCACCTTTAACGTGATTATTAACTGCAGGCTTCTAAGTTAAGGTCAGGGAGCATCAGATTTCTTGCTCCTGAAGTAATATTCTCTTGCCTGAGAGGCTGTAAACTGACCCTGGTGGGCTGCTGGCCACTAATCTCTTGCATTCTGTTTATGATAATAGACTGAGTGGAATTTTCTGCTTGTTTAGAAAAGGTAGACAGCAAAACAAAAGCCAGGTGGCTAGATTTAACTTTTATAATTAATGCCAAAGGGTAATAGAAGGCCTGTGTAAGGTATGCCAATGAAGAGTGCAGATAGTAAAATCCCAGCTTATTGTTTGACAGCTATAACTAGCACTGAAGCCGAAGATACCTAGTGGGAGAATTCATACAATGTTATTTTGGTGGCTTTTTCAAAGTCAAGAAGACTTATGGTTATCAGAAAATTAAAAATATAGTTTTGTATTATTTTGATAATATATTGTTATTATTTTTAGCATCAGTGTAGCCCTACCTGAAGTTCTGAAAATGATGAAAGTTAACCTTTTGATTTCTTCTCTGCACTGCCAGCTTCCTTCGTTCTCTGTTCCCTGTGGGCAAGCCTGAGCTGTCTTCTAGGTCCTGTCTCTCTCCCTTTGTCACCTCACAACCTTCAAAACCACTTCATTTTGGAATGCCTGTGTGCCTTAGCCCATCCTCCCTACTAGATGAGTCACTAGCTCATTTGATTTATAACTTTCAGTGATATTATATTAATATGTAAGATATTAATGTTACTAGATATCAATCCAACTGCATGTTAAAAGTTTTGTCTTTTTTGTTTTGTTTTTCTTTTTTGCTTTTTTTTTTTTTTTTTTTTTTTTTTTTTTTCTTACATAGGGTCTTACTCTGTAGCCTAGGCTGAGCTGGAAGTCATCATGTGTCCCAGGCTTGCTACAAACTTGTGGTAGTCATTCTGCTTCAGCCTTCCAAGTGAATGATGGGATTACAGGCCAATTACTTAATCACTCTATTTGGCCTGTTGAGAATCCCACTGAGAATTATATAGTAATTAATGCAGAAGGTTTTTATTTATCTTTTAATAAAGAAATCTGGCCTTTGGCTGTTAATTTATTGTTAGTCATTGATATAGGATATCAGTTTAATTTTTTGGTTCTAATTTATGACAGTTTTTTTTTTTTTTAGGAATCAAAGTTTTTGTTTTTGTTTTTGTTTTAATGAGTTTTGAGGTTTACATTACATTTATTTACTCTGTGTGTTGTGTGAGCATGCATACCATGGCATGTTTGGAGATCAGAGGACATCTTGTAGGGGCTTTTTTTCTCTGCTTCCATGATGAGGGTCTGAGATCAAACTGAGAACTTTGAGTACATACAGGTATCTCTACCTGCTGCTGAGCCATCTTACCAGCCCAGATGTAAAATTCCTTTTTTCAGATGTTAAATTTTAATAATGATGACCAATAAATATTTTTTTTAATTTTTCCAAGAGAAACTACTTGGTCATATAAAACTATTTACTTTCAAACAGTTGGATTGGCTGTTTACTCTTTTTTTTTTTTTGCAGTTACATACATAAATGAGAGTGTTACAGACTATTTGATGTTTTACTAGTTGGATATCTTTAGTAGAGCTATATCAGCCTTCTTGAATTAGTTTGTTTGAGCCTATTGATGCAGTCTCTTTATAACAGCCTTCTAGTATCCAGATAATCATGAAAATGCTGAGTTATTTTAAAAAGCAAGGAGAGGTCAATGCCTGCCTACACACACACACACACACACACACACACACACACACACACACACTAAATACCTACATACATATTTAAAGGACAAGATACCACAGAAAATGTCAAAGCAAAAATAAGTATCAAATTGTTGAAAATTATCTTTAGGAAAATCTCCTAGAAAGCAGGATAAAAAGACAAACTTTTAACATATGGAAAAGAAATATAGGAATACAACCCTAGAAATCCAGATCTGATTGAGTCTCATTAAAAGAAACCAGAGGCAATATTTTTGTTCAATAAATGATACAGCAAAGCTTTCTAGAATGCAAGGATACCTGGGGCCACTTTGTAAGAGTTTTCTAAAACCAAATGGATATATGGAGAAGATCATGGGGAGATTTACAAGCACTGAGAATACATAAATTCTCAAAGATCTCCTTACTGTGAAGAACATTCCTAAGTGTAACGCATGTCAGAGTGACATCAGGTCACTAGGCCACAGTAGACTCTGAGAGGCAAGGAAGCTGTCCCTTCACAGTTCTAAGATTGACCTGAATCCAGAGAAGTTCCTGTGTGAAAGCAAATACAGGTGGTTATCCTCCATCAGAAAGAGGGAACATAAGCCCAAACAGTAATGGATCAAGTCCTGCAATAGCAGTCACATAAGTCACAACACTCCACAGTGTGTAGCTGGCAAGAGCAGGATGTGCATATTGGAACACAAGATTGAGGACTTTCTGACAAAGGTCAGAACCCTGGGAAAGAGGTGTTTTTAGAATAAATAGTATAGCTTAGAACTTGGGCAATGTATGTATTTTGTGTGTGCATATATACATATACATACGAAAAGTGTGCATGCATATACAAAAGGCAACTAGAAACTCTACAAAGTACAGAAGCCCATTACCACCACCACCACCACCACCACCACCACCACCAGAAAAGGGAAATTATAGTAGACTAAGCAAAAAGTACTTACTAGGTCATAATATTGGTAATGACTTTTCATGTTTTAAACATCATGTTTTACACATATGTTTTCAATTTAAAAATCTACAAATTGTAGAAGATTCTTGTGTGTTACTCACCAAAATATATATTTTTCCTTACTCTTAGATAATAATAGATTTGTAGTTGGGCTCATATGCTCCCAGTAACACTGCCTCCGAGTCTTCTGACTTATGATATGGCTGCATAACTAATTCTGTTCAGTGGAACATAATGGAAATGAATTTTCCCTTCCATTGAGCTAGAATAGAAGTTTTCCTGTAACTAAGCTGCAGCCATCCAAGCAAAGACAGTTGATCTGTGAAACTGCAGAGAAACAAGATGGGAAAAGACTGATTATATGGAGAAGTCAGATGGGGACAGTCCTAATATGAATAGTGATAATAATTAAAACAGCCTAAGAAGGTAGAAACTAAAGAAACCTAAGATAGAATTCTGTGAAAATCCTTCCTGAGATGTTGCTGAACAGACACAAAGTGAGGGCTCATGATTGTCTGAGAAGGAGCCTTAGAGATAAGGACCAAAGCAAGAACATTTGGAGGCTGGGCAAGGTCAAGCAGAGAGGTCCTCATGACCTGGAAATGAATAGGTAGAGGTTATATAAAATGAGACCAAGAAATAGTACAGTACAAGATCAGATCACACGGGGACTTTCTGACGAAAACTTAGGGGTTTCTTGTGAGTGGGTGGGAAAGCACTATGAGATTGTGATCACAGGGGTAGTGCTGTAAAGGACCATTCCAACTGCCTTATGGAGAAGAAACTAGCAGGGAAAGTATGGAAACAGGAAGGATGGCCAAATAAAGAATAGTTCTGTTGTCCATGTAAAAGACAACAGTGGTTTGAATTAAGAGTCAGGAGAAGCAGGAAAGAAACCCAGGATATATAGTGTATGTAAGAAGCATGCTATTTAGCTGGGTATAATTGTAATCTTGTAACATTCACAAGAGCTGTGAACAGAAATGAAAGCCCCGTGGCATAGGAAGCATTGCTTTTCATCCCATACCCTTATGTACTATTTTCCCCTAAGGCTATTTACATGCATTACCTTAATTTTTAAAACATAAAGAAATGTAACATTTTACCTTTCAGATTTTTCCATATAATATGTTTAAATGTTTATTCTTCATTGTATCATTTTATTTAAAACCCTATTGATTTATAGAAATATAGAGTAAAGCAGTCAGAAAAATTTATTTGGAACTACAAAGAATCCCAAACATACAAAACAGTCTTGACAAAGAGGAATAAAGCTGGAGGCAGTCGCATTTCCTGACTTCAAAATATATTACAGAGCATGGAAATTAAGCAATATGGTACTGGCATGAAGACAGACATAGAGACCAATGGAGCAGAATAGAGATGCCAGACATAAACCCATATATATTCAGTCACTAATATTCACAAGGGGTGCAAAGATCACTTATTGAGAAAAAATAGACTACTCAGCAAATGATACTTGAAAAACCTTGTACCATATGAAAATAAGGAAATGTCTTGCATCATATGCAAAAAAAACTAATCAAATAGACATAAAACTGTAAGTACACTATACCTTGTGTACTCTTAGTTAGAATGTGAATGGAGTGTATAATGGAAAACAGTATTGAGGTTTTTCCAGAAATTAAAAACCCAGCAATTCTTCATTCTTCTTCTGGGTGTGCCATTTTGTGATTTTGATTTTGTGATGTTTTCTTAAACCTTTTTTTTGTTTGTTTGTTTCTTTTTTCAAGACAGGGTTTCTCTGTATTGTTTTGGAGCCTGTCCTGGAACTAGCTCTTGTAGACCAGGCTGGCCTTGAACTCACAGAGACCCACCTGCCTCTGCCTCCCGAGTGCCGGGATTAAAGGCATGTGCCACCACCGCCCAGCTTCTTAAACCTCTTTTGATTAACTGTTCTTGTATTGCTCATTTTTCTTCTGTTTGCCTCATATATATTTATCCTTGTTGTCAGTCTGAAGTATTTCTCCTGTTGTCCTCTGCATTCCTGGTTTAGTGGCCACATGTTCCTATAGTCTGTTTTTTTCTGTTGTTTGTTTAAGTGGGAAAGAAAAATAAAACAAGTAAAAGGAAAAGAAAAAGATTTCTTTAATGTGAACACATTGGGAAAAGTGACAAAGAGACCCACCTTCAGGGTCCTGAAATGAGATCAGAGTTTAAATGCATGGCCAAAAACATGTACATCTAAGCACTCGGGTTGAGGTGTGGTTCTACCCACCACTGCTCTGTTTTTATCCCAGAAGATTTTTATCTCCAATGATGATAAGTAGTTTGGCTGGGTATAATAGTCCAAGTTAGTGTTGTAGTCTTTTACAACTCTGAATATATCCTTCCAAGCCCTTCTCATTTTAAAGGTTTCTATTATAAATCAGCCATATATCTGACTTGACCCATTGTTTTTCTTTTTTTTTTTTTTTTCAGTTTTCACTATTGTTTATTCTGTGTTTTTTAGTGTCTTAACTGTAATATGATGTAAGGATATTTTTTATTCCTGTTTATTTGGTATTTTATGCCTCTTGTGTTTAAATATGTCTTTTTCCCCTAGATTTTGGAAATATCTCTATTTTATTGAAAGTATTTTCTGTAACTTTGTCATAGAATTCTTCCCTGTCTATGTGTAGATTTGTAGATTTGGACTTTTCCTGGTGTTCTAAAATACTCCATGATCCATCCTTTTTTAATTTATCATTGATGTTGGCTGAATGAGCCAGCTCCTGTACCTGTGTTAAAGCCCTGATAGTCTGTCCTCCTTGTATAGATTTATTCTGTTGGTAAAGCTTTCCACTGAGTTTTTTGACTTTCTGTGAGCCTTCAATCCAGCCCCCCAGCTCTGATTTTTGTTACTTGTTGTTTTAGTTATTTGTGTATTTTAGATGTTAGCTGTGTAATTAACAAAGATTTCTTCCCATTCTGTACACTGTCCCTTTAGGTTGATTGTTTCCATTGTTGTGCAAAATGTCATTCTAATTGTCGGCATTACTTACCTAGTGATTATAGTCCTATTTAGAATTCCTTATCTGTGTGTGTCCTTTAAGTGCTTTCCCGTTTTCCTCTAACATTTCAAAGTTTCAAATCCTATATTAAATTCACTCAATTAAGATGGTATATAAATAGCTTTGACACCAGATCTTATACTGTAGCTCAGGTTGTCCTACAGACTTCATTCTGTAGCCATGAATCTGTGCAGTAATCTCATCCCCTGGCTTCCCAAGTATTGGGATTTACAAGTGTGAGCCACAATACCCAGGTTGAGAATGGTTTCTGGAAAAGTGAGGCCAATTTCACAAGTTGTCAGAACACAGCCTATTTGAATTGCTGTTTCCTTGCTGAACCCAATATTTTTTTGAAAATAAGATTTTTTTAATTATTGTTGTTAGTGTTTTGTTTTGTTTTGTTTTTAAGACAGGGATTTCTGAAGGCTCAAACTTGCTGTGAATCCAAGAGCATTATTTACTTATCTTGTCGCTATGACAAAATGCATTGACAAAAGCGTCTTAAAGAAGAAAGGTTTATTTTGGCTCAAAGTTGAAGTACACAGTATACCATGATAGGGAAGACACGGAGAGGTTTGGGGGGCAGGATCTCAAGTGTCCACAGTCAGGTAACATGGAATTAAATGTCTCCTCTCAGCTTCCTGTCTTTTGATTTGGTCCAGCACCCCAGGCCATAGAATGGTACTGCCAGCCTTTAGGGTTTCTCGTCCCACCTCAAGTAATCCATCTAGATGGTCAGTCCCTCACAGACATGCCTAGAGAGGTTTCTCTTCTGTGACTCTAGATTCTGTCAAATTAACAGTGTTAACTCTCATAACAAGTATGACCTTGACCTTCTGACCCTCCTGCTTCTGCTTCCCTGCTGAGATTCCAGGGGTTATAGGCATGTGCCACCATGTCCAGATTTTAAAATTTTAAACCAATGAAGTATGCTCTCTTTCTTAAAAACACAATCTTAATTAATCTGAACTCTCTTGAACAAGTCCCTGAGGGGCTAGAACTATATATGTATAACGCCACCATTCTAACTACAGTAATGCCCCAAACCAACCCTGAGTGGGAAGATATTTCATTACTAATGTCACAACCATGAAACAGAATGCTTTAACTAAAAAGAGATTCTTTGGTAAAGTGGAAAAGGAGCACAGCTTAAAAGAAAGCCTGGCATTGTTGTCTGACTGTGTCTATGCACTCTGTGACTTTGTCATTCCTCAGGTCACTCTGAGCTTCAGTTTCTTCGATGTGATACCAGTTTCATAAGGTGGTTAGGAGATGGCATGCAACAGCAGGATGGAAATACTGTGTTAATATAAACCCTTACTACTTTGCTGCAGATAACATTCTAGAAAAAGGATTTGTTCAAGGCCATAGAGCTAGTTAATGGAGGATAAGAGCTCAGCTGAGGTGACTCATTCTCAGCCCATGTTGCCCTTTGGATCCCTCATGTATGGCAGCTCTATTCTGTTAATCATGCCTTAGTCAAAGTCTTTTCATCTTCTGAGGCCAAAGGGATACATTTGAGCACAGAGCAGTCCCGTCCCAGCAGCCGACGAGTAAGCTCAGCAGGCTCCTTATGGGCTCCACTGTTTCACACGTCCTTCCAAACAGCTGACTGCCATGCATTGGAGGAGCTCTTATCCTCCTGCATCAATCTAGCAGTACCTAGACTGAGTTCTACCCTTAGCAACCTACCCCCCCCCCAGAAGATTGCTTAGAAATGTTTTTGAAAGGTTGGGAGAAAAGATCTTTCTGTGAAACCCAGGCTGACCTCAAATTCATAATCCTTCTGCCCCTGTCTCTCAAGCATCAGTATGGTGTCACACACAGCTGAAATTTTTCTGTATAATCCTCCCACTTCAGACACTCATTGTTTCTGTAACCCTCTACATGTTCTGTCACTAA